GACAGGGCAATTATTCAAAATGGTTCCATTCTTGTTGAACCTGAAAGATTTGTCAATCATCATAACTGAGACAAGTCCAGACCTGATCCACGGGCAGGTGAGAAAGTACAGGAAATCAGGGTACAATATTGAGTCAGGGATAGGGGGTAGGTGAAATTTTCTAAGCACTAAAACCTTAGGACAATATAGTATTAAATATGCATGAATCACTGGAAATACAGTAAGATAATAAGGAGGGAACACTACTGCAACATAATACTGATCCATTATTATTATAATGAACATGTTTCTTTGTCTCCTTTACGTTGGTTAATTTAAAATACTCAAGTAGATTGTGTCTGCTCCAAAGCACACGTTTTTCCTGACGGTGACTATAGACCTCTCCATTAAAAACACACAGGCTCATCACTGACCACTAGACCAGACTTTAGAGGATCCTCTCCTGTCTGTACCCACAGTGTAAACCCAAAATCGCAGAGATTATTTCCCAATGTTCTAAATAATATCACAATTGAGTGATGGCTAAGGTACTGTAATACAATAGAACACATGTAGTGTAAGTTTGTGCAGATGACAGGTTTCCATGTTTTTGTAATTCAGACTTGGTTTGGTGAATAGTTCCTGTTCTATGACCAATGTTTATCATTCACCTCAGTTACATGAGTTTCTTTAAAAGGAATCCCTATATCTATCCAAAACACAGAGACAATTTATGCACAGGGAGCATGTTTTTCTGACCGTCTAAACATTCATTCAACAAAATACAATTTTTGTCAAGTGTTTTACTTACTTACTCTAAACTACTGAGTAAATTGTTTACAGTAAGATTGCTAAGTAACAGTTATGGAACTAATAAACAGTTATGGAACTGATGAACAGTTGTGGAACTAATAAACTTCACTACAATTATCAGTCAAGGATTTTGACTTCAATCTTAAATATAATTATATGTACTTTGTTTTAATGAAATGTGTGTTGCACTTGAATTGTAAACTACCATGTGGTACGTACAGTTCTAATATTGATGAATGTTCCAGTATTTTCAACTTCAAATGAGTATCTAGTTTCAAACCCAGGTTTTGCATTGATTTAATGGGCATCAATATTTTTAATAATAATTTTAATTAATCCCATCCCAGTCTCCACGCTCCCCTGGTCTCCTCCTCTTCTGCAGAGGAGAGTGAAGTGAGGGATCATGGGAAAGTGAACTATAGTGTCAAATGTTTAAGTGTCTGTTACTTCCTGTTCACTCCAAATCCAGCTGAAATAATCTAAACATGAGCGTCTCAAAGGGTCAAGCGTTTAAAGTACTATTCATAAGTTCATCACTTCCTGTTTACAGGTGCCATTTTGAGGACTTTTCATCTTTCAACAGATAGAATAAATTGACATGTTGAAAAGCATAGATAAGATGCATTCATGTTCTACAATTTGGTGATCATAGTTTCAGATGGAGGGCAGGGGCGTATAAAACTCTATAAACTCTATAAACTCTCACTGTTTTTGAATAAAATCTCTAAACTTAATATCCACCTTTTAACTGACAACAATCAAGTCTTTGGGGTTGAATAATGGGCACCACTTTCTCAAGAGATTGTGAAAAAAAAAAACAACATTTGACTTTTGTTTGTATTTCTCCTGAAGACATTGTGACATCTTTGTTTCATGTGAATAGGTCCAGTAATTACAGAGAAATGAGAGCTGGGAGGGAATTTGTGAAATATAAGGACTGTGCACTTCTGGAAAAGTGTTTGGCACTTGTTTTGGCAGGGTGTTAGGTATGGGCCCAAGATTTTTAAAAATCCATGGATACAAGTTGGGATCGCCCCCTAGTGGCCGGTGTACATAAAATCCAAAATGGCCCCTGACGAAAAGAGAAAAGGTTGTATTTCACCTTCCTTTTGTCTTAAATTGTTGTATAATGACTTGAGTTGATAAAGGAATGCAATTTCAATAATATATTCCTATTTTAAGGCCATTTTCATGCCAAATTTATTATAATGGTCACTTTTTGCTTGAAAAACGGTCCATATCTCTGAAATGAAACGACATACTGGATAAAGATCATTCAGGCCTTTAAACCCATATGTTCATTCTTAAAGAATAATACTGAACATGTTAACATCATTTTAGTGTGAAAAATATTGTTTTGGAAAAGCCTTTACCAGAAACTGGCTATTTCTTAAATCAAGTCAAAGAAGGTGCAGAAATTGTTTCATGGTTCTATGGAATGCTCTAGAATGTGTTCGACCAGGTTACTCAAGCTTTGCCATCGGATTCAGCTGGTTTTACTAGAACAGGGGTCACCAAACTTTTTTCTCTGGGGCCACATTATCTCTCCTGACTGTGATGGGGGCTGGGGTCGAGTCGGTCGTATAACAGAATTGTATGACCCTGACAACACAGAGACACAGAGCTCCACACTTTCTTTACATATTACACAAACTGCACGCTCCTCACACTGAACAAAAACATAATCAGTCATCCACTGTTCTTTGGAAACTCGACACTTTCTGTCAACTTTTCCTGCTTTAACACTCACCATTTTGCTGTCCTTAACTGCACTTCAGTACTCTGCACGTGTGTCCACTGTCACTGTTTGATCTTGAGCTTGTCAGGTTACGAAAATTCGACCGCAAATTCAGAGGCAAATGTAAATGGGTCATATAATTATTTAAATATAAATATAAATACTTCATATAAATATAATTTATTTTTTAAATCTACAAAACACAAGATGCATGTTATTATTTGCCAAAAAGTAATTAAAAAAAATAGGCCATGAACTTTTGAGAAGAGGAGCGGATGATGAGGTGGAGTCCCCCAGCCTTACAGTGAAGGACCGCCCAGAGAGGAACCACCTAAACCATTCCAGGGCGGTCCACTTGTATCCATGGATTTTTGAAAACCTTAGGCCCATATCTAACACCCTGCCAAAAATAAAAAAAACTTTTTCAGAAGTGCACAATTTTCATGAATTCCCTATGAGTCATAAACCAGGTCAATAAACCTACATCTGACAGTTCCACACAAACTTCACCTGTGAAGTCTGACCTGTCTCAGCTCAGGTTCAACTAGAGGAGTCTACAGTGTGCTAAGTGTATTGGCTGTCCCATAAGGCAGTTGCTTATACAGATCTGACCCAGGACACATTTACAACAATGTTGAACTTACATGTGTGAATTGGTCAGTGACCAGAAATGATCATCTTGGGTCTTTTTAATGGAGGGACTGAGTCTCTGAGCCACCTGTGTCAGATGCCCTCCCTGTGTGTCAGCCCCAGGACATCCTGAAGGAACTATACAGATCCTATACATGTCCCTGGACTATCCTGGGAACACTTTTGAAAGCCCCCAAAGAAGCTGGAGGAAGTGTCTGGGGTGAAGGAAGTCTGGCAGTCCCTGCTTAGACTGCTGACTCAGAAAAAGTACAAGAATTGGATGACACTGGCTTCTTTGTTGTGTTAAATTGCAATTATGAAAAGTTTATGTTTGGGAAAATTATTATTTGTTTTTAATGAGGCAAAATAAACTCAAAGTGTAAAATGTGGTAGATCTTTTTTCTTATCTCGCCTCTGTATCGATACAGACTTTGAAAGGCAGTCCTGACCCAGATCTGAGCCAGACCCCCAGGACCAGAACTCAGAGCTGCTTTAATGCTCCAATATGAAAAATAAGCTGAAGAGTGAGAGATCCAGAGACACACAGCAGCTTCTGACGTGTGTGAGAGTAAGTTTAAGTGTGACTCTTATTAGATTAGAAATGTATTTTTAAACCGACATTCAGTCACATGCACAGGGGCATTCACATTAGTGACAGGACTGAAATCTGAACTGATAAACTAATACAAGAATGCGTTTCAGAACATGCTTGTAGAGGTCTAAACTATTTACACAGAAAAAGAGCCCATGGAGAAACAGGGAAGGCATCAGAGGGAAATTTCCGTATGTTCTGTATATCTAATTCTAATTAATCTATAGGAGGCATAATAAACATGGAAAATCACATGTTTTATAGCAGTCTTAATAAGAAAGAATTGTCCTACCTCACTTGTCCAAGTTTTACAGTTATTTGAGGTGCAAGACCATATGATTATTACAAAGTATTAAGTAGCAGGCAAAGGAGAAATTGTCAACTAGTCAAAAGTTTTTTTTTTGATCATCCATGCTGTATCTTCAGTTCTGACATCAAGCACAAACATCAAGTAGGTGTATTTATAATTACAACCTAATAACTGAATCCTGCTTTTACAACAGTAGCTTCACAATAGCCTGGAGTAAGTGCTGCTGTTATCACCACAAGAGCACATCTCCACTGGGCTACGACGTGGAATACATTAAAGGCCTTGACTCCGTCCAAACCGAAATGCCATCCCAAAACTCAGCATTATTCACAAACATGTCGAATAATCGGCAGCATCTAGATCCATACGTAAGCTTGAATTGGCTCCAACAAAATGGATTCTCTTTGCAACCACTGTCAATTCTCCTTTGGGTGTCTTTGGGCTAAAATGTCGTCCAGTATTCACGGAATCTCAATAAATAGGCTTTAATGAGGCGTTTTATGATCATCGTAAAATGAAAATCGTGAGAATAATGCATGTCATGTTAATAGGCCCCATTGGTACGGTGTGAGAAAATTACTCAAATCAATGGGCTGATATCGGGCTTAAAATACCATAACTCAGAGCCAAATATATATATAGAGCACGTATTTTATGATAGCTGTAAAACTGCATTTACGCGAGCAATGTCATCAAATGTGTTGCCTCGGACAATTGGCGTGATTTGTCCAAAACGCGATAATGAATGGATGAGGAGGAGCGACGCCCTCTTGTTGAACATACGAGCCGATTCACGCATGAGACGACACATGTCTGCGGATTTTTACCCTGTTGATGCCTCGTTCAGCGTTCACAGCCCCGAAACAAAAATCGTGCGTAAAATGAAATCCATAGGTGCCATTTTCGAGTTACAGCATCGACGTGAGCAGATGTCTTACCTGAACCGCGGAGAGTCCTTGATACATTCTTCAAAGTCCACCGTCATTTTGGGGTTTTTCCTCGCGTAGTCTAGTGCGCGAATGTCATTGCCAGCGGCGTATTTGAGACTGAACCGAGTGCGCCGCGATCCGTGTGTGCTCCAGGCGCGCAGCGGTCTGTCTGTCGCCTCCTCTCTCCCTGTGGCACCGTGACACAGAGCGGAGGAGGAGCGGGAGGAGCGGCAGGAGGAGCGGCAGGGGGAGCGGCAGGAGGCGGATTACTACGACAGTCACCGTTGCTGCTGCTGCTGCTGAGAGGAGAAGCTGCCGAGCAATGACCAACAGGCAACGAGCGCCCTCCTCTGGCCAAATCACGCCCAAGGGACAAAAAAGAAAACCTTACTACATATTTACTACTGACTATAATAGCCTATAATATTAAGGAATTTCAAGTAAGGGCCTATAAAATCAAGTTGACCGGTCTGTTGTTGTTTAAAGGGCTCATTTTAAGCACTTATAAGCACTCATCATCACCCTGAGTTCTTCTCTCATCAGAAAACACTTGTTATCCCACTAGAATCATTTGTATTTCAGACCAACCATTGAGGTGGATGAGATCTGTCCTCATGAGGGGGTGGATGAGGGCAGGATCCCATCTCTGCTGTCTGCAGGTGATGTTGTTCTTATGGCTTCATTGAACCAGGACCTGCAACATACACAGAGATGGTCTGCAGCCCAGTGGGATGAAGATTGGAAAAAGGTGGCTTGTCCTCTCCAGATGGTGGAGTCCCCGCCTCAAGTGGAGGAATTCAAGTATCTCGGGGTCTTGTTCATGAGTGAGGGAAGAATACAAGTGCTCCAAATGATTTTCCTCTGCAAAGTGGCTGGGCACTTCCTTAAAGATAGGGTGGGGAGCTCAGTCACACAGGGAGAGCTCGGAGTAGAGCCACTGCTCGGGAGGAGCAGCTAAGGGGAGGGCATCTGTTCCGGATGCCTCCTGGACGCCTCCCTGGGGAGATGTTCTGAGTATGTCCCACCAGAAAGAGGCTCCGGGGGACCTTTTCAAATGGAGATGAAGAACAGACAGATCTCTGCAGAGTCTGATTCAAACTTTTGGGTCTGGTTTATGGTTTTTATCTCCATGTGTGTTGGACCTAGTGTCCATGTGAAATAAGAATAACTGACACAATAAAATCAGACTGCATATACAAGAATAGTGTCTGTTAGTTCAATAGAAATATATGTCTTATTGTCTGTGTGTCTTGGTGAAGAACAGGTTGTATAACTGTCCACCAGGAGTTGTACGTCCTTAAGTCCTTTTGTGAGTGCAGTTTGGGTCAGATACACAGAGAAAAATAGAATAAAACAGAAAAAATAGTTTTGAGAGCTTTTGCCATGCCAATAAGAAGTTTCTTTAATGGACTACAGACACAGGTCATGTTTGTGGAATAAAAAAAAATAAATTTAAAATGCGTATGATTTCTTTAACTTAAATAAGAAATCTTGTTCGGGCTGTGATGAGAGAGACATGTGCAATGTCACATTCATAATAACATAAAAATTAAAACAAATCACTCCGTCAGTCTGCCTCAGGGCAGCTGTGGCTACAGTAGTAGTTTACCACCACTGTAAGTGTGGAGTGACTGAATAATGAACCGTAAAGTGCTTTGGGTATCTTGAAAGGTGCTATATAAATGCAATCAATCAATCCTTAACAATTTCAGAGTGAGCCAAAAACTTTTCTTGAAGCACAATCAGAAGTTTATCATGATTCATGTTTTCTTTGTATTTTCTAAACAGTTTTTAATAGGTAACTAAAGCTGTCTGCTGCTTCTGAAAGGCCACACTTCACTGTGATTGGTTAACTCCACCTGTCACTCAGAGTCTTATTGAGGTTGACCAGTAGGAGGTGTGGATGGTGGAAAACATGTTTGACCATTCAGCTGCATAGAAAAAAAAATTAGAGAAAAAAAAAGAACAATTGAGTTACCACAGATGGTCACAGGGATCAGTATTTCATGTTTTCACTTTTTTTTCCTTTTAATTCTTCCAGTATTCCTTGAAAATACAATGTGATCATTAGAGAAATCACACATAAGCTAAGCCTGTCACACTAATCACACACAAAGACACATATCATTCAAAGCTAAATATATTTTCTACCTTCACATTTGACACCTCTCATGAAGTCCTGCTGCTCAAATGAGGATCTAATTTCAGTACTAGTTTAATATTGACCAATAACTGATTTTTGATACTTCTGACAACCTTAGTCTACAATAGTGTGTAATAATGAACTTCAGACAGACCTGGTGCAAAGAGGGATGGATCATGTGCAGGAGAGTCCATTTTTATTTTCAGTGATTATGTTTTTTCCTGCACTTTGTGGGCTCCTTAAACTAACAGTTTTTAAGGCTTTTTGATGAATTTCTTATTCCAAAAGGAGGAAAAATAATGGGAGGCTGGATGACCCTTGCCATCTCCTGGATGACCCCCCTCTGGCCCTCAGTCGTGAGTGACCTCTGGTACAGACAGAAACTTTATCTGCAAATGTATGTGCCTTAATCGGTGACAGTTCTGAAGATGGCTTGCAGCTAGCAGCCGAAACATGTCAACAAGGTAAATACACTTTACTGCATTGTCTTTAAAAAGAACCTAAGAAGTTAATGTATGTGCCTTAATCCTGGACACATCAGCAGCCTGCCCATCTTGGTTTAGTCCTGGTTTTGTCCATTTGAAATGGGAAACTCAAACCTTTATGTCCTGTTGGGTTGTTTTATGCCACTCTTTGTCAGTTTTAGACTTTTCACACACTGCAGTTTTCTACAGTTTTTATTTATTTATTTACTTATTTATTTTCCTGGGACAGTTCTCCATTTGCTTTTTTTCTATGCATGTTGGTTCATTGGCTTATCTGTTATTGACCAATGACTGTTTCACTGTTGGATTTATTAATTTTCTATTGGTTAAATCAGTTATCTTGCTACGCCCTATCTTGTTACGAGGAAACTTGATTTGGGACAGAATTCCTTGTTTATAATTACTTAAGTATATTACATCTGTTTTTTTTTCACAGACCTGGTTTAGTTCTGGTGGTACTTGTGTGAAAAGTGTGAGCTCTTCTTCTCGTCTGGCCCATTCTCAGTGACATAAAGTACACACTCTGGTCCAGCAGGTGGCGCTGTGCACCGGCGCAGACTGGAGGGTCACGCATGCGCAGAACGACTGGCGGCTCAGTCTCGTGGTGGTTAGCTCGGAGCTAAAGCTAAAAACAGTGAGTGGAGTTCATGGATCTATAATGATTAGTTTAATTAAATATGATTTAAATGATTTTATGACAGAGCTGTGGTGAAAATGTGCACAAGACGCACTCTGAGAGCTCTGGTGAAGGAGCGGCTGACTGCGGCTGCGGAAGACATATTTGCGCTGTTTGAAAGAACGATATCGGAGTATGAGGAGGAACTGCGCCTCTCCAAACAAGAGAACCAGAGAAACCAGGAGCTGCTGGAGGCTCTGAACCCGAGAGTCGTGCTGCTCAGAGCGGGTCAGTCTCTCCTCCACACACACATACAACTCACCACTACGTATATCTCTGTTTACATCTTTAAACTGGGTTTTCAGTCTGAAATGTTTGTATCGTGACAAGTACAAAGTGCTGCCTTTAATATTTGGGCTTTTTCAGCAGGGAACTTGAGGGCCAATCACATGTGTCTGATGACCGCTTTTTGCCCAAGGCCATAGTCTAAACACGTCTTTTAGACCAATGTCAAATGATTAATAATGAATAATGAATGAATAATAAATGCTTTCTATCGGCTGCAGTACGACTCTTGGGTTAACATTAGACTCATGTAAAATGTGGAGTTAGTTTGACATGTAGTTTCTGTTCTCTCCTTCAGGTGTCCAGACGGCCTCCCTCAGTCCTGATCCTGGTCTGAACCAGGAAATCCCAGAGACTCCACAGATTAAAGAGGAGCCAGAGGAACAGAGCGTCAAACAGGAGGAAGAGCAGCTTCCAGTGTAAGCCTCAAGCATTTACACTTTTTCAACTCATGTTTCCTCTCACAGAGGCTCTGTGAACACTGTACACGTCTAGCAGAGGGTTAGCAGGTTTGAGCACTGTAGACCTCACATGGGACAATTTCAAAATCTGCTGGGTCCTTTTACTCCGCTCTGTGCCATTTCACACTTTTCACACACTGCAGTTTTCTATGTTTTTTTACTGTGTGTAAAACATCTTTGAGTCTCCAAAAAGTGCAATAGAAGTCCAATGTATTATTATAAATCATTTGGCCGTTAACATTTCTGCTGTGTTTGGATGAGTGTTGGTCACAAACTTAGTCTGTTATATATTTTCTAAAAATCTATTTGTTTTGGTCATTATCACAGGGTTTTTAACAGGATTTACTCATTTGCTGTCTTGTGTTCTGTTGGTACCCTTCTGTCCAAAAATACTCAAACTGAAATGAAAAGAAATGCCTTAAATCTTTTTTTAACAGTCATCAAAATGCAGTCACAGAAGTGGTGAAAATACTTCACAAAACGTCCCATTTTCCATATAAAACATGAATAAATGTATTCTAGATCAGTACTGACCTGTTGTTTCAGTCTTGGACACAGATCAGTCACAACTCCAGTCTTGGTGACTCTTGAGTTTTTGTGCAGGAGCATTTTTTTGTTCTTGGCCATATTGGCCCATTAACTTCCATTATTCCATGATTATTATTCCATTATTATGTTTGGATCTGCAGTGACTCTATTAAAGAGTGGTTTCCTGATCATTTGTTTCATGCCCTTTTGAAAAGAGGCCAAAAGTGTGATTGTAATAGTTGACACTGAAGTGTCCTTGTGACCATTTTAAACAGACCTCTGTGAAGAAAGCCTGTGTTTCCCTCATGCTTTTCAGTGCTCTCTGGAGGGGTGTGTTTTTGTATTCAGTTGGGTTCTGGGGCCCCATACTTACCTGGAAGGAAGTATATGCCCCGAGGATGCCCCAAATAAGTACAATTTCTGTTTAAAGCTCCAGAGGTACAGCACAGGCAACAATAGCCTCATTTCCAGAGGGCTGGTAGGGGGCCAGTTTAGGGCTCCCAAACAGCCCCAAGGTACTACCTTCCAAAAGGTTCTGGCAGGGTTAGGACCTGGGACTGGTTTGCAGGGGGCAGACCTAGACACAGTCATTGGAGGAATAGCTGCAGGGCAGCAGAGACACACGCATAACAAAATGTAAATAGTGCAAACTGCGTAACAAAGCACAGTGTCGTCAACTTGCCGATGCAGCACAAGAAATGAAGAAACAGTCTATTCAGAGCTGCAGCTTAATCCACCCACACGTTCAGTTGAACAGATAATATGAACCCAATTTAACCAACTTCCTCCTCCTTCTTGGTTCCGGTAAAAGTGTAATTCCAGTGTGGAGCATGTGTTAGTTGATGCGGCCACATGAGTCCATGTAAAATTCTCCATAATCTGAAGAAAGCGTGTGTCAATGTACGTGAGGATCATCTGTGTGCTCTGGTTCATTTGTTATGAATTATATTCTGAACATGAAAATGTTAATGCACCATTTTTTTCATGGTTGTCCCACATCATACCAGTGAATGTGTCTTACAGACCTGTGTAATGCCCACAGCAGCCAGGGCGCATTATAATGGAAATGCTCCCTGGGTGGCCCCCTCATAATTGACCCACACCAAGGTGAACCTTGTCAGTGGAAATGAGGCTGAAGAGGGGAAAACAATGTTTAGGAAATTGTAATTTTTCAGTGTCACTGCAGAGCGGTCAATAAGAGTCTCCACGTGTACAAAACATGGACAGGAAGGTCTGTTGGTTATAATGCGAGTCTATGGGAGAAAACACTCCTTTACAAATGACACACCTTTTCAACAGAAAAACAAAGTAAAAAACATTTCAGCCTACACTGATTTTTTTAAACACAAGGAGCTTTTTCTGACCTAGATAACTGCAGCCTTTGTCCTATTTGGAACTATTCTAATAGTGTTTTTGATTTTCAGGTGTGTCCCAGAGTCCGGTGCTGTTGACGTGAAGACAGAAGAGTCCTCACTGCTTCAACAAAGACAAACTGAGGCCAGAGAGGACATGAGCACAGAGACACATTTACACTCAGAGACTGAGGGACACATAGAGCACTCTTCTGACACTGACAGGAGACAAGACTGGAGAGCTCCATTCAGCTGTTCAGATGACGAAAACCAAGTCCATACCAAAGCCAGAAGCATCTCTTCACAAAACTCTGGGGTAGACTTACTTTTGGAGGATGGACCAGAGACCAGTGTCACTATGAACAATGGTGATACGTCAGAAACACCTGAAGAAGCTCAGTGGAAGAGGCACCAGTGTGCTTTTTGTAGAAGAAAATTTGGGGCAAAAGAGCACTTGCAGAGGCACATTAGAATTCACACAGGAGAGAAACCCTTCAGCTGCTCATATTGTCTGAAAAAATTTGCCCGTAAATGTAGTTTAGATGCACATAGAAGAATACACACGGGCGAAAGGCCTTACAGCTGTTTAATCTGTCAGAAAACATTTACTCAACTGTCTGCACTAAATTACCATAAACAGACACATACAAATGAGAGACCTTTCAACTGTTCACTTTGTAGAAAAGGATTTATTAATCGTGGGGCTCTGAACACCCATAACTTAATACACACAGGTGAAAAACCATTTACCTGTTTAATCTGTAAGAAAGAATTTAACCGTAAATTTCTTTTAGATGCACACAGACACATACACATAGACAAAAAAACAGGCTGTTTGTCAAGAAGTAAAAAAACTGTAAAAACAGAGAGACAATTTAGCTGTTACATCTGTACAAAACAATTTAGCACTCGTTGTCACTTAGCTCTCCACATTAGAACCCACACAGGTGAAAAACCATACAGCTGTTTGACCTGTAATAAAGCCTTTTCACGTAAAGATGCTCGAGATGTTCACAGCAGAACACACACTGGTGAAAAACCTTACTGCTGTTCAATCTGTAAGAAATCCTACTCCTGTAAAGTGAGTCTAGATGCACACTATATAAAGCACATCGATGATTAAAGAGCTCCCACAAACTGGCCTGTAGTCAATTAACTAAATGATGGTGTCTTAGTGTCACAATACTAACATTTCACACTCCAGACCTGGAATAGACTTGATACTCAATATTGATTCAGATGCCACAATAGAATGTGATTTTAAACATGAACCATTTGCAATATTAAATCAGTTCAAGTTCTTTCTTTCTGTTCCCATGTGTCTTGTTCTGATACAGCTCAACATTATTCTGAGACTCTTAAGGAGAGGCTCATTTCTGTCCTGTCAACGGGACATTTTACTGTTGATAACTAGTTTACTATCGATTAGCATCTGATTTTCACCCTCATGCCTTAAGCTACATTCAGACTGAACGCGGCACACACTAATTACTTGAGTGATTGTTAACCCTGTGTGTAAATGTAGGCACAGTGAAGGTTTGTTATAGTTCTATATCAGGTCCCAGACTTGACACAAGCTTCTGCGGAGCTCGTCAGGGTTCAGGTGCATCATGGGAATTCAAACTATTTAATTTGTTGAAGTATTTGTTTTTTGTTTATTGTGACAATAAAACAGGAACAGTTCATGTTTGGCACAGAAATCTCTGCCCAATATGATTGTTTAATCAGCTGTCCGTATGGACCGTCTTTGTGGTTCAGCCAATCACAGACTTTGTGTTCAGCAGAAACTCAATGCGTAGTTTACTTGTCCATCGCAGGGCGTTTGGCGCGATTTGACACTTTGTATGTGAGCACAGCATTAATCAACAAAAATTTGTATTAGTCTACTAATTATTTAGTTTAGATTATAAGGAATAATATGCACAACATCAGAAAGGAGAAGGTAAGGAGTGAATTATGTGAAGAATTGGAAGTGAATCCTGCGTTAAATCTGTTTGTTTACATTGAAATGGATTTTTGTATTACATTTTCTGTATAATTAGTTTTATTTTGAGCGCAGTTTGGGTCAGATGCAAATTTAATAATATATACAAGAGTTTTTGACACACCCCCGTCAATAAATGTGTGTAAATATGCTCATATTTGTCTTGTTTGTTGTTTAAGTTGTAGGCCTGTCACTAGAATTGCAGGTCACTTGATTATGGTACTGTTTCCTTGTTCTAGTGGGGAACGTTTTGTAATTTTTCTGCACCATAATGAGATTTGAGCTGTGGAGGGTGGAATAAATAAGTTCTCTGACTCATTCAGTATTTATGTATTGCTTATTATGTTTGTTCATGTGGGACTAAACATATAAACGTTTCATTTGACAGTGTTTTACACCAAGGATCTAGGCTTGTGTTGTGCTTGTAATAAGTGGGAACAACCTAAACTGGATGTTAACACACAAAATGGTGGTGCCCGATGTCGCCTCCAGGGCGCATCTCATTTCTCTGTCATTGAGTCCTTCTCCGTGATTCTTCTCAATTTTTGAAGAAATCCCAGTCCCAGTCCAGCCACAGAGGAGACATGGGCTGAGGGTGAATGGAACAGTCTTTCCTTGGGCACAGGTTCTGACCAAAATTACCTTATAATGAGGACAATATTAAGGATTGTTTTATATTATTATTTCAGGACTTTTAAGTCAAAGTCAGATGGAAGACTGGAGAGCTCCATTCAGCTGTTCAGCTGCACAAATGAAGACTGAGCCTGGTGGAGACCACAACAACCAAGTGGAGATGAGAGCCAGAAGCACCACTGCACCAACTCAGGATGTCCCCCAAATACAAGTCTGCCCCACAGACCAGAGCCACCGTGAGCGATGGAGACATGGCAGGAAACATCAGTGCACCAGTTGTTAGAGTTTTATGAGAAACGGTCATTTACAGAGACACATTAGATTTCACACAGGATAGAAATCTTACAGCTGTTCAACATGTGAGAAAACATTTTTCACCATGTATTATCTAAAAGCACAGAGACCAGAAAGAGACCTTATAGCTGTTCAGCCCGTGGGAAAATCTTTTACAATAAGACTAATTTAAATGCACTTAAAAGAATCCAGACTGGACAAAGACCTTACAGGTGCTCAACTTGTAAAAACATTGACCAATAAGTTTATTTCTTTTTCTCGTATTTCATTTCTAAATGAAATACGAGATAAAAAAGAAAAGGAAAGAAAAAACAAAACATTCAGCTGCCCATCCTTTTCTATTTCCATGAAAGTCTACATTAGATGAACACAGAATAACACACGCTGGAGAGAAACCTTACAGCTGTTCAGATTGACACAACATTTTCCATAAAATCTCCTAAGTGTACTCTAAATGGGCAGAATAGAACACACACAGGAGAGAGATCTTACAGCTGTTCAGTTTGTGAGAAAACATTTGCTCTAAATTAAGCACAGAAGAACTCACACAGAAGAACAAGGTTCACCACAAGATCTGGTCTCTCAAAACCCTTGAACTCAAACAGAGACCTTTCAGCTGTTCAGAGTGTGACTGAAGCTTTATTGTGGTTTTATGAGATGAGCTTTTATTTGTCTTGGGCATCTGTCCATCTCAGCCTGATTCTTCAGACTTCTGACCTGTCCAGATCCTTTGACCACACAGTGACTTAGAGTTAGGTTAGTTATTATGTCAGAGGTTGTAAACGAGTTCTTCTCACATGTGTCACATGTGTCATATGTGCCATATGTCATTAGTTATTTCTGTTTTAGTTGAAGCTAGCTCCTAGGTCATTTGTTCACCTGTTGATACTCACAGCGCCTGTGTGATTATACATAAATTAGAACATTAAATGTCAATCAAATGTACACACCTGTTGATATATTAATGACTAATTTATGTGTTTCACATGAAAATGCATCTGCTTCATTTGTTTGGTCAATAAATATTCATAAACCACAATTTGCTTAGGCTTGGGAGTTGCCCTAAAACTCTTTTAGTCAAAGCCACATTCACAAAGAGTATGCAGGAGTCCAGCTTTATGTCCATTTATATTGTTTCTATCAGCAGGACCTGTAGTACATAAGCTGATACTGTAGCCACAGTTGCCCTGGGGCAGACTGACAGCACTCTCTCTGGCCTGAATGGTCACTACCTAAACCCCAACACCCACAATGAATCAGTGCTAGTGCAGCCTTTGTAGCTCAGTGAGTGAGGATTCTGAGCTTGGAACTTGTGCGCGCATGCACACACACACACACACACACACACACACACACACACACACACACACACACACACACACACACACACACACACACACACACACACACACACACACACACACACACACACACACACATCCCCCAACACCCCCCAGGACTCAATAACCAATGATTCACTCAGTCTTTGTTATTCACATGTTTTAATGCACGTGGACACATAAAAACACCTGAACACTTTACTGGTCACGTGAGACGGAGCAGTTCATGTGCGCTCGTGCGGTGCTCTCCGGGAGGTGTGAGCAGGACACTCGGCTCTTCTTCGGAGGAGCTGACTCTGGAGGAGTGCTACAAAGTGCTCTTTGGAGGAAAGATCCTGGGCATTGAAACCCCCCCCCCCTCATTTTTAGCTTTAGCTCCGAGCTGCGCTCCATCTGCGCCTGGGTGACTCTCCAGTCTGCTCCGCTTCACAGCGCCACCCACTGGATCACAGTGTGTACTTTATGGTTTTGAGAATGCGATAGTAGAGAAGTGAAGAAATCTCACTTTTCATACAAGTACCACCAGAACTAAACCAGGTGTGGGAAAGGACTAAGCCAGGTCTGAAACAGGACTTAACTTGACTTTAGTATTTCTAAACCAGAATAAACCGTGGGAGTGTGTGTGAACATGAATAATATTCAGGACTGTACACTTCCACCTGCTTTACAGCTGCTTTCATTTCTCACTATGGACTCTAAGGGTCCAAAAAGAAAAAAAGTGTCTACCATTTGATTATGTAAAATAATTGGGGTAGGATTTTTAAAAAAACTTCATTCTACTCCTTTTGAGCATCAGGTACCAAATATGTACATGTGCATATCCTTTTGTTTGTTTATTTTTGTCAGTATTGTTGATTTTGTTTCACCTTGACCAAACAAACAAAATATAAATAAATAAATGAAACAAAAAAAGGGTCAATGGTCAAAACTAATTTGGCAGTTTTATTAAGTGTTTCTTCAAATCTCTTACAAGGTGACCACATGATATTTTTATAAGAAAATCCAAGTGGAGAATTTGCCTGCATTCAATTTGACTGCATTCTAATCTTTATTTGGTATATTGTTCCAGTCGTTCTGAAATGATCAATGATACATGAGTGTCTCTCATAAACAGTCCAACAGGTGAATTCTCCTTCAAGTGAAGTGTCCTAGTGTCCTAGTTAGGCCCGAACCAGAGGCTGGCGAAGGGCCTATTAGTATCGCAAAGCGATGCTCCGAGTGGCCAAAAAATGAAATGGCGCGATGTGACTCGCCCGTAGTGACCAGGGACCCTCGCCATCACGTAGCAATGCGCCAGAGGTTTCCGAAAATGTATATTTTGTCGGCCAAAAAAAAGCGGAACATTGTTCTCGTATCGGTTGGTTATTCTCCTAACCAACTCACCCATTTTTCACCCACTGAACAATGACGAAAAGTCCTGAAATTTTGCTATCTGGTAAAACTTGTGCTTCTCTAACTTTTGGCTACTTTCATTTTCCAAAAATAAATAAAATGGCTCGTCAGCGCCCCCAAACGACTCAAAAATTCATTAGGGAATACGAATGACACAAAAAAAAAATTGCATGTACAATCATAAAATTTGACACAGAAGTCGATCATGTCAAGACAAGGAAAAAATATTATTACACCAACACCGTGTGCTCCACTAGGGGGCAATAATATTGGCTTAAAGTTTGCTAAGCTTTTACAAACTCCTCCGAGGGCGTTCACCCAAACGAGCTCAAATTTGGTCCACATTATCTCAAGACGCGGAACATCAAAAGTTATCCACATTTTTCACACACGTCTTAAGGTCTCTGAGCAGTGAAGCAACAAAAAATGCACACAATTTTGGAGATTTACAAATTGCTCCCATTTGCTCAAACGAAATCCGATTTCAATGAAATTTGAAACATTTGTTAACCTCTCTGCCCTGAAGCTACTTAATGTGAAAATTATTAATTTGGCGCATTAGCGCCCCCTATAGATTGAAACAAAATTTAATATGGAAGAAAATCATTTGTTCCCAAATAGTTGTTCAAAAGTTTCTGAAATTTAGCACAAAATTCCATTTTGGCATCCTGATCCAAAATTCAGTAACACCCATGTCATATTTTTTATGGCGTTGCCATAGCGATGACATAAACTCTCCATTGGTAAAATCTACAAATTCTGGCACAAACTTTGGCCGATTTCATTCAAATTTTAATCGCGGGTTCACACCCCGATCCTGAACAGATTTATATAAGAAAATCTCAGGTGGGCGCAATAGCACCCCCTAGGGAAATTGCATGGTAGTGCCAAAATTTACTTTGTCGTAGACATATACAATTTGGTACACAGATTCATGACATGGTCTTGATCAAAAAAGTCTAGGACGACCCCATGCCATTTCCCCATCGTGTTGCCATGGTGACAGGCTAAACATCTGACCTCGCCAATAGGACGCCCAACAAAAACTTTGGCATAGCCAAACCAAATTTGGTACACAGATGCATCATGGGAATAGGAACAAAAAAGTATATTACATGGTTGCTAGGCAACCAACAGGAAGTCGGCTATATTGGATTGATCGGGCGACCTGGGGACGAAGGCACAAATTCCTGTCCTCATACTTGAACGAACTCGTCCTTGGGCATTTGACCCAGACTCACCAGAATCATTCTGTATCATCTAGACAAGTGGGACATTAAATTTGTAAAAAGCTTTTTACAAGGTCAAACGGTGTTGCCGTGGCAACAAATTTTGGGCCAATTTCACTCATATTTTAACCGTGGGTTCACACCCCGACCCTGAACAGATTGATGTAAAAAAAATACAAAAATTTGTATGTAAAAATAAGGTTTTATTTGTCACAGATATACAACATTTGGCACCCACATTTGTGACATGGTCTCGATTAAAAAACTCAATGATGCTCACACCCCATTTTCATTGTGCCAAAATTGTATCCTTGCCAATGGGATGTCCTGACACAAACATTGGCGTAGCCAAACCAAATTTGGTATCCAGATGCATCATGGCAATAAGAACATAAATGTAGATTGTGACCACGCCCCTTTATAAACCGGAAGTCCGCCATCTTTGATATTTTCTTTTGCCAAATTTTGAAAATTGCAGGGTTAAATTAAGATTTATAGGGCTAGGGTTGGGGCTATGGTTAGGATTACGATTAGGGTAAGGTTTAAGGTTAGGCTTATTATGGTCAGTGTGAGGTGCGGCATTTGCGGGGCGTGGCGTTTGCGGGGCGCGGCGTTTGCAGGGCACGGCGCAAGCACGCGTGAGGGCCGATCATTGCCGCTTGCGGCTATATTGTCCTATTGTCTTTAAACACAAATCATATAATTTTATTGACAAAACAGAACTCCCCTTAGTGCATTCGTACGGACACAGAAGACATGGTTCTTTCATTCTTGTGACAGTTCTTTTTATTTCACTTAAACACTAGGCCCAGACTGTACAGAGATATATAGCTTCATATTAAGAATAGGAATTTATTAATGCACAAAACAGTGAAATAAAAACACAAGGATCATGTAGAACAGGTTAATATGAACATGTTAAGACCCAAAATGACGAGGCTCACAGCAGCAGGTACAGAGAGAGGAGTCACAATATTCCAATGGAAGTCAGTGGGAGCCAGAGTCAGAGGCACCTCCATGCAAACCTCCTCTCAGGAACACAGTGACTAGTGCGTTAGCTATGTCTGTTTATATATACAGGTGATGATATTAAACAGGGCTGCAACAATCAATCAACTAATTGTGATTATTTTTCATAGTCAAGTCATCACAGTCATATGATTTTATAACTGTAATTGTTACCTGGAACATACAGACTCGAAAAAAGCATACAGAGACCTTTTAATAACAAAAACTGGAAATATTAAATCAAAATGTAAAAAAAGACTCCCCCTAGACTCTTGAGAACACTCGTGAACATGGCAGTAAAGCATCAGTCACGCTCTGAACAGCTCAACAGTTTGTGTTTGAGACCAGGTGTTAGACCAGATGTTTCTGTGAACCCTTTTCTTCATGTGTGAGTTCTTATGTGTCGATCTAGACTACTCTTAAGAGCATAAGCTTTTTGACAGAATGAACAGCTGTAAGGTTTTTCAAATACGTGGATTCGCATGTGTTTATCTAGATGTCCCTTGAATCTAAATGCTTCCTTACAGACTGAACAGCTATAAGGTTTTTCTTTTGTGTGTATTTCCATGTGTTTCCTGAGAGTAGAGTTCTCTGCAAATGTTTTGTTACAGGTTGAACAGCTGTAAGGTTTTTCTCCTGTGTGTGTTCTTTGATGGATTTTAAGGCTACTCTTTTGAGAAAATGTTTTGTTACATGTAGAACAGCTGAAGGGTTTTTCACCTTTATGTGTCATTTCATGTCTGTTAAGATTAGCTTTGTCAGTAAATGTTTTATGACAGGTTGAACAGCTGTAGGGTCTTTCTCCTGTGTGCCTTTTCATGTGTGTCTTTAGACTAGTTTGCTCAGCAAATGCTTTATTACACACTAAACAGCTGTAAGGTCGTTCTCCAGTGTGAGTTCTTTTATGTATTTTTAGATTACACTTTAAAGTAAAGGTTTTTTTACACATTGAACAGCTGTAAGGTCGTTCACCTGTATGAGTTCTTGCATGTCTATCTAGGCTGCTCTTTTGACTAAATGACTTCTTACAGATTGAACAGCTGAATGGTTTTTCTCCTGTGTGTGATCTTGTATGTAGTTTGAGGGTGAGGTATTTTGCAAAACATTTACCACAAGTAGAACAACTGAATGGTTTTTCACCTGAATGTGTCCTCATATGAATAAACAGGTCACGGCCTCTGATAAATCCTTTCTTACAAATAAAACAGCTGTAAGGTCTTTCTCCTGTGTGTGTTTTCATGTGTATCCTGAGAGTAGACTTGTCGGCAAATGTTCTGTCACACATTGAACATCCATAAGGTCTTTCTCCCGTGTGGGTTCTCATGTGTGTATCTAGTGAGCCTTTATGGGAGAATGATTTTTTACAGGTTGGGCAGCTGAATGGTTTTTCTCCTGTGTGTATTCTTCTATGTGCATCTAATGTCGCCTTAAGGGTAAATGTTTTCGTACAGGTTGAACAGCTGTAAGGTTTCACTCCCATGTGGATTCTGATGTGTCTCTGTAAGTGATCTCTTGTTCCAAATCTCCTTCCACAAAAAGGACACTGGTGTTTCTTGCCTTCAGCTCCTTCGGCTGTTTCAGACATGACTCCATTATTCACAGTGGCACTTGACTCTGAGAAACACCTGAAAATCAAAAACACCATTAGCATAATTTCAAACAAGATACAGTAAAGGCAGTATTTAAGTAAAAACAGTGGCGCACCGTGAATCTAGACCCTGGGCCTTCACTAGGACCAATGGCTATCATGAAATCATTTATTTAAAAAAAGTAAATGAAGCAAATCACACATTCACTTACTTATATTTGTTGATTAATAATCATTAGCTACTGTTCAACAACTCTGAGCCTCCATGGGCTCTGAACTCCGGCCCGGCCGCGGGCTCCGTGCTCCGGTTTTCAGAGATGAAAGAGAAAGAACCTTCTGTCAGATGCCTCCGAGGCATCCAAATAGAGGCGTCCAGCGTGTTTTTTGACACTGTGGTCTCGCTTATTTATACTATCAGGGGTATTCGCGAAGGCCAGGGAGATGTCGTGATATGATCTCACCCATAACTCAATGAAATATGATTGGCTAAGACAACTGTCAATCTCAAATTCATCCCCGCATTGACTTGAATTGCAAAGGCCTTCACTACAGCCACCGAAGCCCTGCAGGTGTTTCTTTAGTTCAGCGCTACAGGAGGAGTCACTGATTTACCCAGATACCACTGGAAGAAAAAATTGTGATTGGTCCATTTCCATTTCATTATATTAACTCTTTGTTTCCCAAAAAATATTAGTCCAAGTTTATAACAATGATCTAGAAATTATTACTAGTGTCGTGTTTATTATTCACTGAACAAAAAATATTGAAAAAATATATTAGTAGTACAAAAATTCTTTCAGTATTTTTTTCTTGGGCTGAATACCTTGAAGGCTCTGAGGATTCCCCTCTGGATAAAAATAACTAAATTAGTGAATGACTTAATGTCCTGTGTCTTCATCAAACCCACCAATCCTGTAGGTTAAACATGCACTTCACACGCTCCTGTTCATGTTCAACATTCTGAATGAGTTGTCCTCCTGTCAACGTCTTCCTGACCACATGGAGTTTGTGATGGGGGCGGCTGCCTCTGAGTGGCTGTTTTAGACTGTTATATTATAAATAGTCTAATGTCTTTAACTGTATGTTTATGCTGTTTGTTATCTGACTCTAGACCAGGGCATCAGTGTGAAGAATTGGCTCTCAATCGACTGACAGATTAAATCCAGGCCTCGACATGTGCGTGAGTAAACATGAGTTGGAAAAGTGTAAATGCTTGAGGCCTACACTGGCAGCTGCTCTTCCTCCTGTTTGACGCTGTGTTCCTCTGGCTCCTCTTTAATCTGTGGAGTCTCTGGGATTTCCTGGTTCAGACCTGGACCAGGTCTCAGGAAGAACATCTGGACACCTGCAGGAGAGAACAGACACTACATGTCAAACTGAACATAAAAACGAGCTGGAATCTGTAACGTTATTCACTGTGCAATGTCCATGTCAAATAAATCCATGTATGTTGTGTTGAAGTCCAGTCTGACTCTAGAAATGAGACCACATTAAATAAAGTCATTGATACTTTGCAGTGACATCACTCTGGGGGTGTTCTGCCTGTATTCCCATGGTGAAATGTTCAGCAGTTACCATGGTGACACGATACACACATTAGCAAATAGTGCCAAAAAGATCATCACTAAGGTGTTATGGATTTAAAGAGCACATTTTCAGGAGCCTGTGATCAGTCCGAGCGTTCACGATCCTGTTTATGAGTTTCATTTACGTCAAAAAGGTGAAAGTGACTCACTGAAACCTGTTGCCAGCGAGCTTGTGACTGTCATTTTAAGACACTTGTTTAACCATAAGAGCTTGTCAATGCCTGATCCTGAGGTCCGGGTCTGGTCAGGACTTGGATGGAGACACTGGGAAAATCAGTCACAAAAACTGTTGTTGTGTCCTTAGGCAAGACACTTCACCCGCATTGCCTAGTATGAGAGTGGTGTGTGTGTGTGTGATGATGGTGGTTGGAGGGGCCGATGGCGCAGATTGGCAGCCTCGCTTCAGTCAGGCCAGCTGTGGCTACAGTAGCAGCTCACCACCACTGCGAGTGGAGCGAGTGAACAATGAAATGAAAGTGCTTTGGGTGTGTTGAAAGGCACTATATAAATGCAATTATTAATTAAATAATTAGTTAATTAACAGCTCAAATCAGATTAAAGTTCATCCATCCATTTTCGTCCGCTTATCAGGGGCCGGGTCGCGGGGGCAGCAGCCTAAGCAGGGACTCCCAGACTTCCTTCACCCCAGACACGTCCTCCAGCTCCTCCGGGTGGACCCCGAGGCGTTCCCAGGCCAGCCGAGAGACATAGTCCCTCCAGCGTGTCCTGGGTCTTCCCCGGGGCCTCCTCCCGGTGGGACATGCCCGGAACACCTCCCAAGGGAGGCGCCCAGGGGGCATCCGGAACAGATGCCCGAGCCACCTCAACTGGCTCCTCTCGACGTGGAGGAGCAGCGGCTCTACTCCGAGCTCCTCCCGTGTGACTGAGCTCCTCACCCTATCTCTAAGGGAGCGCCCAGCCACCCTGCGGAGGAAACCCATTTCAAACGCTTGTATCCGCGATCTCGTCCTTTCGGTCACTACCCAGAGCTCATGACCATAGGTGAGAGTAGGAACGAAGACTGACCGGTAAATCGAGAGCTTCGCCTTTCGGCTCAGCTCCCTCTTCACCACTACGGTCCGATACAGCGACCGCATCACTGCCGAAGCTGCACCGATCAGCCTGTCAATCTCACGTTCCGTCCTTCCCTCACTCGTGAACAAGACCCCGAGATACTTGAACTCCTCCACTTGAGGCAAAGACTCCCCACCCACCCGGAGAGGGCAAGCCACCTTTTTCTGGTCGAGAACCATGGCCTCGGACTTAGAAGAGCTGATCTTCATCCCAGCCGCTTCACACTCGGCCTCAAACCGCCCCAGTGCACATTGCAGGTCCTGGTTCGATGAAGCCAACAGGACAACATCATCTGCGAACAGCAGAGATAAGATCCTGTGGTCCCCAAACCGGACCCCCTCCGGCCCCTGACTGCGCCTAGAAATTCTGTCCATAAACACAATGAACAGAACCGGTGACAAAGGGCAGCCCTGGCGGAGTCCAACATGCACCGGGAACAGGTCTGACTTACTGCCGGCAATGCGAACACAGCTCCTGCTTCGGTCATACAGGGACCGGACAGCCCTTAGCAAAGTGCCCCGGACCCCATACTCCCAGAGCACCCCCCACAGAACACCACGAGGGACACGGTCGAATGCCTTCTCCAGATCCACAAAACACATGTGGACTGGTTGGGCAAACTCCCATGAACCCTCGAGCACCCGATAGAGTGTAGAGCTGGTCCAGTGTTCCACGGCCAGGACGAAAACCACACTGCTCCTCCTGGATCCGAGGTTCGACTATCGGCCGGATTCTCCTCTCCAGTACCCTGGCATAGACCTTACTGGGAAGGCTGAGGAGTGTGATCCCCCTATAGTTGGAGCACACCCTCCGGTCCCCCTTCTTATACAGAGGGACCACCACCCCGGTTTGCCAGTCCAGAGCCAAGACAGCCCCACAACATCCAGAGACTTAAGGTACTCAGGACGGATCTCATCCAACCTCGGAGCCTTGCCACCAAGGAGTTTTCCAACCACCTCAGTGACTTCAGCCAGGGTGATGGATGAGTCCGCCTCCGAGTCCCCAGCCTTGGCCTCCTCCTCGGAAGACGTGACGGTGGGATTGAGGAGATCCTCAAAGTATTCCTTCCACCGCCGGACAACGTCCCCAGTCGAGGTCAGCAGCTCTCCCCACGCACTGTAAACAGTGTTGGCGAAGAACTGCTTCCCCCTCTTGAGGCGCCGGACGGTTTGCCAGAATCTCTTTGAGGCCGTCCGATAGTCCTTTTCCATGGCCTCCCCGAACTCCTCCCAGCTCCGAGTTTTTGCCTCCGCAACCGCACGGGCTGCAGCACGCTTGGCCCGCCGGTACCCGTCAGCTGCTTCAGGAGTCCCCCGAGCCAGCAAGGCCTGATAGGACTCCTTCTTCAGCTTGACGGCATCCCTTACTTCCGGTGTCCACCACCGGGTTCGGGGATTGCCGCCGCGACAGGCACCACAGACCTTACGCCCACAGCTCCGAGCAGCCGCATTGACAATAGAGGCCGAGAATGAAGCCCACTCGGACTCCATATCTCCAGCCTCCCCCGGAATCCGGGAGAAGTCCTCCCGGAGGTGCAAGTTGAAAGTCCCTCTGACAGAGGGCTCCGCCAGACGTTCCCAAAGACCTCCCAACAGACCCTCACTACACGCTTGGGCCTGCCAGGTCTTTCCGGCTTCCTCCTCCGCCAGCGAACCCAACTCACAACCCGGTGGTGATCAGTTGACAGCTCAGCCCCTCTCTTCACCCGAGTGTCCAAGACACGCGGCCGGAGATCAGATGACACGACTACAAAGTCGATCATCGACCTCCGGCCTAGGGTGTCCTGGTGCCACGTGCACTTATGGACACCCTTGTGCTCGAACATGGTGTTTGTTATGGACAAACCGTGACTAGCACAGAAGTCCAATAACAAAACACCGCTCGGGTTCAGATCAGGGAGGCCGTTCCTCCCAATCACCCCTCTCCAAGTGTCACTGGGCGTTGAAGTCCCCCAGTCGGTGCACTGTCTAGTACCCCTCCCAAGGACTCCAGGAAGGCCGGGTACTCAGCACTGCTGTTCGGCCCGTAGGCCGACACCACAGTGAGAGACCTGTCCCCGACCCGAAGGGGCAGGGACGCGACCCTCTCGTTCACCGGGGTGAACTCCAACACACAGTGGCTGAGCTGTGGGGCAATGAGCAGGCCCACACCAGCCCGCCGCCGCTCCCCGCGGCCAACGCCAGAGAAATGGAGAGTCCAGCCCCTCTCAAGGAGTTGGGTTCCAGAGCCCAAACTGTGCGTGGAGGTGAGGCCGACTATATCTAGTCGGTAACGCTCAACCTCCTGCACAAGCTCAGGCTCCTTCCTCCCCAGCGAGGTGACATTCCATGTCCCCAGAGCTAGTCTCCATGTCCGGAGATCCGGTCGTCGAGGCCCCCGCCTTCGACTGCCGCCCAGATCTCTCTGCACCAGCCCCATATGGCTCCTCCCGCAGGTGGTGGGCCCACGTGAGGACGGCCCCACGTCGCTCCTTCGGGCTAAGCCCGGCCGGGCCCCGTGGGGGAAGGCCCGGCCACCAGGCGCTCGCTGACGAGCACCCACCCCAGGCCTGGCTCCAGGGTGAGGCCCCGGTGACGCCAATCCGGGCGATGTAACTGGCCTCTGTGTGTAGCTCATCATGTGGGGCTTCTGAACCGTTCTTCGTCTGACCCGTCCCCCCGGACCTGTTTGCCTTGGGTGACCCTACCAGGGGCACGAAGCCCCCGACAACATAGCTCCCGGGATCATTCGGGCACTCAAACCCCTCCACCACGATAAGGTGACGGTTCAAGGAGGGGCAGATTAAAGTATATCTTGAGTAACAGCGTTAAAGACAGAGCAGTGCCTACAGTTAGCATCACACCCCCAGGTAATGTTGATGACCCCACCCCCTTCCCTGAATTAATCATTTAGTCAGATTTAATGAGAAAACTATTATAATATAATTCCTTTAAAAGAAAAATGACTAAATTATTTTAAATGATTAACTATTTTTTACACATCATCATTTGATTCTGTAGGTTTTATGTGGATGTTTAGGGACAATAAGAATAAAGCTGTCTCACGGTCTGAACAGCTGTAAGGTGCTTCTGTTTTCTGATCTGGACTTGGTTGTAGCAGTCTCCATCAGCTGAACAGCTCAATAGACCTCTCCAGTCTTCATCACTGCGAGTGGCAGAAGAGTGCTCCATGTGTAAATGTGCCTCTGAAGCTGTGGACTCTGGGACACACCTGAACATCAAAAACATTATTAGAATTATTAGAATAGTTCCAAATAGTAGAAATGAAAACTTTCATATCATTTCATTGAAGACGAGTGCTTTGGAGGAGAGGGAGCTGCGCATTGTTCATCAATAAAAAAGGTTTTTGCACACCGTCCAACTTCCAAAATGTGAATTTATTTGGACACAAACATCATTGTGTGCACTGGCTTTGGGGACGGCTGCTCAAAGTGCCCCAAGCTACTGCTCTTGCCTTGTCGTGGAGGACACAGGGAGCACTCTCCACGCTCTGTATTATTCTTGGTGAAGAAACCGAGGTCAGAGCAGTGGCGGATGGTCAATATAAGCTTAACTAATAGCTTTTTGTATTGGACTATATGTGTCATATTTTATTTAAAACTGAATGTGTATCTGCGTATTCTTATTTTTGTAATGATAAATGTTGTCAAATGACTTTAACTGATTCATATGTTTGCTCTTTGAGTACGTACGGTCAGAGTGCACTGGAGTTTTATGGAGCAGCACTTACATTTACTTTTACAACATTTGAGCCTTCACAAGGTGAAAAATAATTATTTTGTACTTTAATCCTCATGTCATCTTTGATGTTTAAAATTACATATTCTGTAGGGATATAGGATAGAAATTGTGGGCCAGGGATTTTTACAAAGGCTGACTTCAAAAATAGATTAAGGCAAATAAAAAGGCCATTGTGATCAGGCAAAAGAGTCACAGTTATTAAACTTTCAGATGGAGACATTTTCATTGCATACTGATGTTACAACACTTTAAGATGAAAATTGGTATTTTTTATATGATATGTAGCAGCTCAGTTGGTGCAAAATCATCCATTTAAAATTAGGCTACGTGACTGATATGGATTCAATTAGACCTGTAAATATATTGTGTCTAGACTTGGAGCAAATTGGTGGCTGCTTGCAGCGTTGGCACCAGTTGCTCTGTGCTCTGAGCCACATGCACTGAGAAGCCCCTTGTGTTGAAAATGGTGTTTGTTATGGACAAACTGTGACTGGTTAAAGAGCCTCCTGCATTCAGACAGAGAGGAGGGACCAGGCAAATGTCCTTGTGAAGACTATGCATAAACCCATTAACCCTCTGCTAGACGTGTACAGTGCTCACGAAGCCTCTGTGAGCACTGTACACGTGAGCACATGGGTTGCAAAAATGTAAATGCTTGAGGCCTACACTGGCAGCTGCTCTTCCTCCTGTTTGATGCTCTGTTCCTCTGGCTCCTCTTTAATCTGTGGTGTCTCTGGGATTTCCTGGTTCAGACCAGGACCACAACTCGGGGAGGGCATCTGGACATCTGCAGGAGAGAACAGAAACTACATTATTACAAATCTGACACGAGCCTTACTATATTATATTTTTTTATTTATTAAATGACAGCGCTTTACATCAAGAACCACTCACCCATTCACACACACACATTCACAAACCAGTGTGCACAGACAGTGAGGGCCAAGTGGGCTCAGTGTCTAGATAAAGAGCATAGCAAACGTATTCATCTGTGGGAGTCAACCTGTGGGTCAGCAGATCTGACACAATGTTGATGTCAAGAACGGAACCTTCACATCACTGGAGGAACTCTATCAACTGACACACAGACCCACATGCAGGGTGGGGGGGACAGACAGTGCAAACAGAATAACAGGAAGTGAGCTCCTTCTGACTCTGGCTCCTACTGACTTACATTAGAATATCATCGCCCCTCTCTGTGACCATAACCTGCTCTACATGATCCTGAGGATTTTATTTTTGCTGTTTTAAAAATCCTATTCATAATAAGGAGCCTGGCTCCAAATTCGCCCCTGTAACCACAAGTGTCATGAGTTTCATTTGTCTGGAGCTGTAAGCTGTGGGTGACGTCACACTCTCTGCTGTATACAGACTCTGCTGTCTGTGGTGGGGAGGGACGGTCGGCTCTGATTGACCGTTTGAAGTTTAGGAACAGGGTTATAGTTAAGGTTAGGGTCTGGTTAAGTTTAGGAACAACATTTTGTGAGGAAAATGGGTTAGGTTAGAGTAAGGAAAATGTCCTGGGGTTAACATGTTAGCAGAAGTAACTTTGAAAAAAACAAACTTGTCACCTACAGCCTTACCTCAACTTACAACATAAATAAAACATAAAAACAGTTAAATACAAAAATGTTAAAAACATGTTAAAACAGCAGCCTGTTTATAACAACAGAAGCAAACACATTACCATGGTAACTAGAGCTATGTGATCACTTCCTTCTATCACCGACCAGACTCTCACTAACCAAATGAGAACCGGTGGAAAAAAACATTACAGTTAGCAGCAACTGAAGCTTAGTCATGTAGAATTTAAAAGTAAGACAGTCTTAACCTAAACACAGCAACAACTAGAGGGGGCAGTTAGGAAAAAAACAAAAAACAATTGATAATGGCTGGCTTTGTTGTCGCTCCACACACAAAATATGTTCACCACAAACTCAGGATGATTTATGCAGCCAAATGTTTCCTTTTTGGTCCTTCCTGTGGATCAATCCTGACCATCACCTTCACCTTTCACTATCTTTCAATTCCACTGGGAAGGGACACAGTTTGAACAGAGGTTTGCAGTCACACACATCTGATTCACTTTTGCATTTATGAAGTTTGCAAACTTCTGAAGCCCATTTTACACTGTTAGGATCCAACAACCACACAATTACGATGTCTGAATCCCATAAGTAAAATATGACAATATCAGAACCAGAAACAAAAGTGACAATAGATACATCCCACTGGGAAAACAAACATGGAGGTTTGATGCTCACTTTTTCAGAGGATCCTTCCCAGGATGCATTGCACGATGACTGGAAGTCTGAAATTCGGGATGCATGTATTATTATTATTATTATTATTATTAGGCCCGAGCGCCAGAGGCTGGCGAAGGGCCTAGTAGTATCACATAGCGATGCTTCTAGTGGCCGAAAAATGAAATGGCACGACGTGACTCGCCTGTAGTGACCAGGGACCCTCGCCATGACGTAGCAATGCGCCAGAGGTTTCTGAAAATGCATAGTTTGTTGGCTAAAATAAAGTGGAACATTGTTCTTGTATCAGAATATTATGCTTTCTTCTTCTTTCTTATTATTATTAGGCCCGAGCCCCCACAGGGCGTAGGGCCTATTTCAAATAAAAGTTTGAAAACTTGCTCAGCAGCGATAATCAAATATGACATAACTTATGACCATAAAACTTATCATTTTATTTAAGATCTATTTCTGAAATTGTATAAACTGCAAAGTTAAAAACATAAAAAAACAAAAACAAAACTACATTTAGCTGAATCTTGCATTTTAAATGACCTTATTACCTGGTCCCCGAAGGGTTGACCGGGTTTTGTATTCACCCTGTGTGTGTGTCTGTGTGTCTGTGTGTGAGTGTGTGTCTGTGTGTGTCTGTGTGTGTCTGTGTGTGAGTCTGTGTGTGTGTGTCTGTGTGCTTGTGCGTGTATGTTTGTCCACCCGTGATAATTCCGCCATTTATGGACCGATTGTCACCAAATTTGGTACGTGGGTCAAGCCCCAGTGCTCGATGCCACAAAAAAGTTTGGTGACGATCCGAGGTCATTTGAGGTCACAATTTCTGAACCATCTGCGGCCTAAAATATTCACCCAACCATCACAAAAATTGGCACACACATAACCAGGGCACACTGGATGTTACAGGTTGAAACCGGTCAAGGTCACTTGAAGGTCAAGGTAACCAAGGTCAAATATGCATTTTTGGCCATAACTCCACAAAGGAGCACAAAGCTCAAGCAACGGGAGTGGTCTCAAAATCTCAGTAAAAGTAAACACAGACATTCTCATGTGTGACCAATATAACATGTTGGAGCCTTATTACATGCCTGTACCTCCTGCCACTGTGAGGTGCTATTTGTAATTTATGCAAGTACCTGCCCTATAAAAGGGGAGGAAATTGTGCACACAGGGGTGTTGCACCGTGAAGGTATACAGTCTTTTGAACGTTGTCGTCGTCGTCGTCATCGTCATCGTCATGATCTATCTAGTGCCGAATCTGTGTATTTTTGGATGGCTATAAGGTACGCCAATAAATAATGAGAAACACGGTATTTGGACTCTCTTTTATGGAAGACACGCGCCCGAGACACCACACACGCTGCAGCCATAGCGGACCTTGCACAGCTCAAGTTTTGGCCGCTACATCACACAAATGTTCATGGGCCTGTACAGATACACACATTGCATTGTGGATATTGTGATCATGTAATATGGGCTGAGCTCCTCATAAACTGCTTCTGTGGTGATGAACTGCCCCCACGATGCCTTTGGGGGGGACCAGGTTGCTGTCTCTGTTTGCACTTCTTGGATTTAAAACAACAGCGTTATGGATGTTAGCACATAGCTGCTTAGCCTCCGCGATGTCTATGAAGTCTTAATATTACAAATTTTCTTAAAGGAACAATTAATGGAAAATTGACTTATGGAAATGGAGCAGGCAGTCACTTTTGAGCTCCGTACGTCTATGGCACAAAAACTGTACCCTCCCCCTACTCTGTTTGATGAATGAAGTACAGGGAGAAAAAAACTCAGCGTCGGGGTGTCCACCAGTTACCATGGAAATACAATAGCAAACACTGCATAAGGTGTGAGTGACTAACTGAAAAACTGCTGGCTCAATTAATCGGTGTGGTTGGCTGCTTTTGTAACTGCCTGGCTCACAAACTGAGCAGTTTTTTTAGTTCAATTTTTAACATCTCATCAAGGGATTTTAACCAACCAAGTTCAGCATGTACAGTTCAAAGAACACGAAAAAGGGACTGTCAGATTGTCTTTCCCATATCCACAGAGACTGTGCAAGAGGCTATGGACCTTTGAATAACTACAGGTTTTTTTACACCATGGGACCTTCCCACTTTTCTCTTTCCTCGCTTCCTTCTTCTTGATCCTCGATTCTGCAGGAAATGGGTGAGGAAGTCCCGCCCGCAGAGGAGAGACAGTGAGGAGAGAGGACCTAATCTCCTCACTGAGACCAGTAAAGTTTTATTATTTTGTCTGAAGCCTCCTCATATTTACTCCTTCCTTCTGTGGTTTTCTTTGGGACACCACTTCATATGGCACATTTGACTGACAGCTACAAAATGTAGGATAGAAGGGAGGAATCAAGGAGAAGGAAGCAAGGAAAGAGAATTGAGACGCAGCCCGTATGTGGCAGCAAATATGGCAGAACATCCAGAGAAAGTAAGAGATAAAAAGGCCACGGAGACACACAGTAGAAATACTGCAGCAGCAAATATAATATAGTTGCAAGTATAATGGATGGGGCGTGTTTAACAGCACACATCAGCTCACCTGTACTTCCAGCAAGCCAGTTCTTTCTGGTCAGATTGTGATCAAATAAAGGTCAGATTAAACTCTAACAAAGCCTCAGACAGAGAATACCTGGAGATCCATGATGTAAATGCAGAAAATGTTGATGACATCAAATGCACACGCAGTTCAGAACCAGTGCATAAAAACATTATAGTTAGCAGATACTAAAGGTTAGTCATGTAGAAGGCCAATATAAGTCAGGCTTAACTTGAATACAGCAAAAAACTAGAGGGAGCCGTTAAGTAGAGAACAACCAAAAGCTAACGGCTGGCTAGTAAAATATACGTTGCTATGGCAACAACTACTCGCTCCTGTGGAAAACTAACACAGTGTGTAAAAGGAACGCTGCCAAACCCCGAATAAAGGCGATATAAAACAGTGACTGTGTTATTATTATCTGTACTGTAGTAGTAATAATGTCCATTAACAGTTTCATTTGCTCTAACATTAGCTCTAACAGCTCTGTTCTCCAGGGCATCCGACTGTGCCGCTTTCTCCCGCCCCCGCTCCAACCCAAACCAAATAACCCCCCAATAACCCTCCACACCCTGACCGGACCGAGGCGGGAACATGACACTCACGGTGGAGCTGTGAGCAGCGGCCGTGTCCTCCCGCAGACATTTCACTCACTGTTTTTAGCTTTAGCTCCGAGCTAACCTCATAGAACCACGGCTAACAAGGGCTAACGGGGCTAACAGCTGCTCTGCGCATGCCCCGGAGCGGTGCACGGCGTCACCTGCTGGATCAGGTGTGTTACAGCACAAGAGTGGATCTGACAAGTACCACCAGAACTAAACCAGATCTATAAAAGGACTAAACCAGGTCTATAAAAGGACTAAACCAGGTCTATAAAAGGACTAAACCAGGTCTACAAAAGGACTAAACCAGGTCTGTGAAAAGGCTAAACCAAGTCTAAAACAGGACTACCTGAAATCACTTGTATCACTTCATGACATCACAATGTGAAACTGATAATTTTGAGCTTTGGAGATGTAGACAGGCTAATAAAACAGAAATCCAAATCTGGTTTTGATGAGGTAACAACATTATAACATGGATAAACACTCACAAGAGTCTAGATTCTGCTCAAATTGAAATACTTTGCCATTTGTCCTTTTTTTTAAGTAAAAAAAATAAAAATTAGTTCCTGTTTGGAAATCATGACATCATGTTAGGGTTACCTAGCAACCATGCAGTACACTGTGCCAGAACTCCCCAATATACAAAAAATGTATATTTGACAATAAACAAAAAAACACAAAAAGGCTTGATTTTGTTAAAATCACATTTAAAGTGTAGGAAAAAAAATTTTTCTTGTGTAAAATGTAAATAACATTTGAATAGAATTTCACCCAGTGTGATGGCGTCAATGTGGAACTCTCAAAAAATAGTTCCTATAATACTTCCTACAATTTTCAATGGATTTTTTCACTTTTCTTCACCTACTCCTTCTTAATTTATGTAAAGCTACCATTTATATTTACAACCATTATTATCTCACCAAATTAAATCAAAATTAGAGATAGACACTCATTAAAACCAATCATGTGAAGAGCACTTTAAGTGTTCTTCTATTCTTCCTCAATTTAAAATGACAAAACTTGCATTTTATTAATTTAAGTCATGTGTAAAAAAAAAAAAAAAAAATCTCTTTGGGATGTTGAAAAATGTAGACATGCGATCAGTCAAAAGTTTTGATAGAGCTGAGGCTCTGTAGTTTGTCCTTTAACTGTCTCTGTACTCTCATTTGAATTGAGAACAAGTTCTACACAGGGGAAAGTTAGATTTCAAATCCCGCCTAAATTCTGGGGGGTAAATATAAGAATAGGTATAGCAGGTGTCCCTGGGGATGGTCTGAGAGACAATAGATTGAGCAAGTGTTGGGTCTTGGCTCCCATGTCAAAGCTGAGGCACATCGCACTAACTATTAGATTTGGGACTTGTAATTCCTCTGTAGGAGCCTCTGCATCAGGAGTGGAGGTCGGCTGTCCTGTGGAATTGCGAAACTCTACTGAACAAAAGGTAATCAAGCTGTTATCTAGTGGTGGTTTCAAGTTAACAGCTACCATCACAAGGTGGAATAGAGGACTTTGAGTTTTGAAGATGTAGACAGACTAAAAAAAAAGGTTCACTCAAAAAGTGTGAATGAAACAAAACACAACTCCAGGTACGTTTTTGAGGACAACAATCTAACATTTGTGAAATATAGAACCTTTTAAAACATAAGAGTCATCTAAGAAGCACAGACAAAACTCTGCAGAGTCTGGTTTGTGTTTTTTTTTATCTCTGTATGTACTATGCTAGTGACCATGTGAAATCAAAATAACTGACACAATAATAAATACAAAAATAAATAAATGTGTTCTGTGTCTGCACAAAGTTTCATCACAAAATGGAAAGAGGCCAATCTAATAGGCCAGTATTTGGACTTCTTAGTGTAAAGGGCTGTGGGTGAGTTTGTATAAAATAAAAATTACATAATTTGGAGAAAATAATAAAAAATGCCCCAACATATCTGTCCAAAAATATTGGCAGAGCTTAAAGGCCAGTGGTTTCTCTGTATTGTAAGCAATCAGTGTTGGCATCAGCCATGAAACTGTCAATCTCTAATCTAAAGTTGTCTCAATAAAACTCTGTGTGTTTCTCAACACTACAGAACTGAAGCAAAAAGAGGAATGTGTCACAGTCCACTTCACACAGACGAGGACTGGACACTAACACTTCAAATCCATGTGACAGGTTTGCATGTTTTTTTTCAAATTCTGACTTTGTTTGGTGGATAGTATCTGTGGTCAATATTTATCATAATTTTACATCATGACGTTATATTTGTCACGTTTGAATTACAGGAAGTAGTGGTGAGTTCTAAAACTGAATTTTACCTTATTTTGATGCATGCACTTATTTGTATTTGATCATAGTTTATATTCTATTCTTTGTTTTAATGTCACCCCATAATGCTGTAGCAAGTTCCTAGTTTGTGAATTTTGTTCACTATAGGGCTGAAAACAAATTAATCAATTAACCACAACTAATAGACTATTGAAATAATAGTCAACTAATTTAGAAATCGAATAATCGTTAAATGGGCTATATACAGACTGACTCAAAACATGCCATGCGCTGAGAGACAGCCTTTATGACTCAGGCAGAGCAGTAAAACATGAAGATTATTTGAAAAACTTGAACATTTTGTGTTTTTGATTTTTCTTGTTAAAAGCTCAGACATCTGGAAAACGTTTTGAAATCAGAATGTTTGGACTGCCAAGCAGGCGTCATTTTCAGTTTGTCTGTAGATATTAGGGTTGGACAAAAATAAAAAATATTAATTGCATTAATCACATGAGTCTGAGTGTGATTAATTGTGATTAATCGCATGTTATACGCAAAACCAGTTAATGAATTAAAAAGTAGCGTACAGTGCACATTTATTGGAAATGTAAATGAAAGAGCCAAACATTTGTTGTGCAAACAACATTTCTTTCAGAGTTGAGCCCTCAGAGCCTTCTAGGTTTTCACTGAAGGCTGAAGAAAAAGATATTAAATGAATTTTTGTACTAGTAATATATTTTTTCTATATTTTTTATTCAGTGAGTAATAAACACTACACTAGAAATAATTTCTAGATCATTGTTATAAACTTGGATTGATATTTCTTGGGAAACAAAGGGTTAATATAATGGAATGGAAATGGACCAATCACAATTTTTCTTCCAGTGGTATCTGGGTAAATCAGTGATTCCCCCTGCAGCACTGAACTAAACAAACACCTGCAGGACCTTGAGTGGCTGGAACAAAGTTTGAGATTCACAGTTGTGTTAGCCAATCATATTTCATTGAGTTAAGGGCAGAATCATATCACAAAATCTTCCGGACTGTCATGAATACCCTGTAATAGCATAATGTAAGTGAGACCGCAGCGACGAAAACCGCACTGGACACCTCTATTTGGACGCCTCTGGGGCGTCTGGAAGAAGGAGAAAGGCCCGTGAACCAGAGCCCGCGGCCCCGTCGGCGGTAGGAGCCCGCGAAAGCTCAGAGTCCACGGCTGGTCTGGCTGTGGAGCCTGCGGCCGAGCCTGCAGCCGAGCCTGCGGCCTGCAAAGACTCGAACTCATTGCATCTCACGTGGTCAAAAAAAAGTGAAAAAAGTATAAAGAAAAGATGTCAAATTTAAAGAAACGCTCACGGTGGACTTTTTCAAAATAAAAGGTCAGCCTTAAGCACCTGCTCCCCCTCCAGTTCAACCTCCAGTCCAAACTCCCACCTCTGCTGCTCGTGAGCCACACACTTCAGAGTGCTACTCTGGTGATCTTGGGTCCTGTGGTCATTTCCTCCTCCAGTGCATTCCAGTTGCCCTGAATCCTCTACTGGAGAGGAGTGTATGCACCTGGACCAGACTCGATTAACGCCAGCGCTGTCAGCGCTCTGGACTGTGCATTTACTGTGGACACGCTGGTCACTACATCGAGTCCTGCCCCCAGCGACCAAAAGAGATGGCTCACCAGTAAATGGAGAGGTTCTGGTGAGCCAAACTACTTTGCTCCCAGTTTCCTCTCCACAAAGATTGCAGCTCCAATCCACTCTGTGCTGGTGGCATGAGTCTATCCCCCTCCTTGCACTAATTGACTCAGGAGCAGATGACAATTTCATTGACTCTAACCTAGTTTCTCAAGCTAATTTCCTTTTGGATCCCATAGAACCCCCCAGGGACGTAAATGCTTTGAGGCTGGCAAGGATCACACACAAGACTGTTAATCTTACACTGGTTTTGTCTGGTAACCACAGGGAAGTTCTTCAGTTTTTAGTTATTTCATATCCTCATGCCACTATAGTTTTGTGACTTCCCTGGTTAAGATTACACAATCCTCATATTAACTGGTCTAAGAACAACATTGCCGGCTGGAGTACTTTCTGTCACTATAACTATCTCCAATTGGCCATGTAGTCTCTCCTTCTCCTCCCAGTCCTCCTGATCTATCTGCCGCACCCTCTGAATAGCATAATCTGGGTGAAGTGTTCAATAAACAAAAAGCATTTTCTCTACCTCCACACGTCCCTATGATTGTGCTATTGATCTGCTTCCTGGTGCCCCCTTACCATCTAGTCGCTTATATAAACTTTCCGGTCCTGAGAGAGAGTCTATGGAGGTTTATATTAAGGATTCTTTAGCTGCAGGCCTTATTCGTCCTTCTTCATCCCCTGTTGGCACAGGATTTTTCTTTGTGGGCAAGAAGGACAAGACTTTCAGGCCCTGTATAGACTATAGAGGATTACCATAACAGTTAAAAATAAATACCCACTTCCACTTATTGATTCAGCCTTCAAACCCCTTCATCAAGCCACTATTTTTACTAAACTGGACTTAAGAAATGCCTATCACCTTGTACACATTCGACGAGGTGATGAGTGGAAGACCCCATTTAATACCCCACTTGGACATTTTGAATACTTGGTGATGCCATTTGGTCTTACTAATGCACCAGCAGTTTTCCAAGCTCTTGTCAATGATGTACTTTGGGATATGATGAATAAATTTGTTTTTGTCTATTTGGATGACATTCTAATTTTTTCCAGGGAAATCAAGAAACATGTCCACCATGTCAGGCTCTTTCTGCAATGCCTCCTAGAGAACAAGCTCTTTGTGAAAGCAGAGAAGTGAGTTTCATGCAGTGTCTGTTAA